ATAATAGTATAATAGTCTGATTGCTCTGAAGATGGGAGGTGATATTCTATTCATTTTCACGTTCACACAGTTGGTGATTTTGGCCGGCCGTCTTTCCTCCGCACACTTTGCTCTGATTGGTCAGCAGGCGGTGCTTTCACTGAGTTGATCTCTTATCCTGGAACCTATCCTGCTCCGGAGCAGGCTAGCCGCTCAGCATAAGTTATCTAGCCCGCTAAAAAGTGAACCAGCTTCGTAGGACCGGAAATCCCTGAAGTTAGCTTGCTAAACGAAATTCCTGATTTGTAGTATAGGCCCCAGGTTAACCGCTCAGCATAAGTTACCATGGAGATCTAGCCCGCTAAAAAGAGAACCAGCGTCGTAGGACAGGAAACCCCAAGTTTTCCCTGAAGTTAGCCCGCTAAGCGAACATCCGGCTTCGTAGTACAGGCCTCAGATGTTAAGCATTAAAGCACAAAAGTCTGTTTATAATCAGCCAGTTTTCTCAGTATTGTACATGTTGAAGGAGTGACTAAAAACTCAATAATTAAGTATAGTATATGTGTATATGTTCAACCTATTTATAAACTCCTATTGCAATTATTGACAATGCCGAACAGAAAAGGAAGTTTTCCATATTACAGAAGGGATTTTAAGCTTTATGTTTCTCCTGCAGCGGGGGCGGCAAATGAGGGAGTGCTTGCTAACTTCTTCAACAGTCTGCTGAGTAAAAAGACCGGATCCCCAGGGAGCCCCGGGAGCCCCGGGAGCCCGGGAAGTGGAGCCGTTGGAGCTGGAGTGCAAGGGTCCGCCAAGAAAACAGGTACCATCTCTTATTCCAGCATGCTCACCTCTGAACTCAGCCAAACTGTTTTTAATCATTCTACCTCACAGGTTAGCAGCAGTTCTTTAATTTAAAAGTTTTTTTACTACAGCATCTTGTGTATTGAGATCTCAAATCACACCTGGGAGAGAGAAAGAGAGAGAAAAGTTAAATCAATAGAAAAATAAAAGTTGTCTTTGACTAAACATCTGAGGAAACTTGTGACAGGCCTGTATGCACCAAACCTCCACTCATAAACGTCCTCCATACAACTAACGTCACTCACTCCATGTCATATCTCTTGCTCAACTAATTTATTATGCTTGAGTAAACACGGCTGTTTCGCATGTCAACCAGCATCATTTTTTTTACTTTGTTACATCAGGTAAATGTAACAAAGTCAAATACTGGCTGAATGTACTACGCAGTAAAAACATTGAAGGAACCATTGCATAACTCATCTCTCCGTTGACATGTATTGTACCTCTAGTTCCAGTGCTGAGCTGTGTAACATTTCTCTGACCCAGCTGGAAGGGGAACGCATGAGAACATGTTTCCTTTGTCCGATGATACGTTTTGCATGAGTGTTAACTGTGGCAGCGAGCAGCCACACTCCAGCATGGGACCGCCTCACCTTCCCACCCTCATCTGTCTGCTTACTGCCTGTAGAAAACTATTCATTTTGAATACACACAGAGACTACAGGAGATTACTTTTGGACTTTGTCTCCTGTTTTTCCAAGGGCAGAAGCCGGGTTTGACTGACGTCCAGGCGGAGTTGGACCGGATGACTCGCAAACAGGACTCCATGGTTTCAGCTAACAACGTACCGCCGCCGACAGGGAATGAAGCGTGAAGGCAACAAAAACAGCTGCGTTAATACTCTGGAATTATACATGTACATGTGAGCATAAAAAATTGACCAAATTCCCAATGTCTATATCAGTCAGCACACAGTGGTTTCACTAAAAGGAGTTTCAGATGCTATCAGATATGTTGGTGTTCTGGTGGGATGGGAAGAGAGACACAACAGAGACGAAACTGTTGCTTATAGGTGCTACACGCTAAAGGCTTGGCTTTATTTCTGTCCTCTCTTCCACTGTAAATGTAATTTTGTGAGGGATGTTGGTTTATTGAAATGTGTGCACACTCCCAGGCAGCCAGCTCGATGCGCTGGGCTGCAGGCCCCCCAGTTTCTGGGGTTAACTCCCTCTCCTCATGGGTTTAAAGAGTGGAAATCTACCGGTCATTTGGCCTCTGGGTCAGCTTATCTCATGGAAGGAATTTGGTCACGATTGGAAAGGTATTTCAACTTTACATTTATTCATTTAGAAAAATATTAGAATACTTGCAAACATATGTAGTATGTACAACATATTGGATATGATACTGATGTATTTATAAAAAGCTCCTTTTTATTTTATTTTGTGCACCATTAACTGGTTTAAAGAAAAAATGTGTCTGTATCGCAAAACATGTTAAAATGCCACTGACGTCATGACACTAATTTGACAAGTCCAGATAGCTGAAAGTATACCACATAATTTTCCCTAATTATCTCGAAGGATTCTGTAAATATATATACAAGAAAATCTATTCAGGTTAACTTTGATTTTGTATAAAAATGCAATTCTGTCAACATTCTTAAAAATAGCTTCTTTGGCTAAATGAGAATGGGATTTGATGAGTTTAGAGGTTGCGATGGAACCGCTTCTTTTGCTACAGGTGTGTATATTTGGGGATTGGGTTAGGTGGCATCTTTCCTACTATAACTCCTAAGTGCCTCGCACAGTTAGCTGTTTTTTCATAGTAGAAATGCTTGTCTTCGCAAGAGGAAATGCACTGTAGCACCATCGGTTAAAAGGTTTTTGTCAATTTTTTGACTTCCAAATAATTTATTTCGTTTTACATTTTTGTTAATGTACAATAAGCCTGTGGTCTGTTATTTTTCAGAAACTAGATTTCTGTGGCCTACTTGATGGTATTCAATAGAGCATTAGATTGAATGCCTTAATGAAAACTAAAGGCTGCTCATATTTAGAAGGAACCACACAACAACACTCACTGTGGTGGAAACCACTCGCTTTGCAGCCAAAAGACAAACAATGAATTGCTGTGGTGTGATCAAAATGACGTATAGTATCATACAGTGTCTGACAGCACTCTCCTCCTTTGGGTTCGCATGTTTTATTCACACTGTACTTTGCATATCTGTTAAACATTCCCCGTTTTTTAAATGGAATAGCTGTAGAAACACATCCCAGTAGTGAAACCCGTTTGTCTGTCTCCTTCAGTGCCCTGTTTAAAATAACAACCTTTGCCTTCACTGTACAGCTAACAGTTTGTCACAACGGCCACCTTGCCTTCACAGGAATGCTCCTAATACTTGTGTGTCCTTAAGGGGTTGCTCAACTGTGTCCTGTAATCTTTTCTTTTTTTAATATAAAATGATTATACTGTACCATATCAAATAATCTGTAAAACTATTTATGGTTTCAGGTCACCATAATCTAATTAAAATGAAGAGTACATCATCATTAAGTCTGTATGCAAGGCCCTACTTAATCTTATGGATAGTGTTCATCGAAAGCTTTAAAGAGCAACTTGCAGGTTTTTTTCCCCCCTATATTTATGCTTAATCTTGCCTGAAAATTACAATTAAAAAAAGTTAATGCAGGATTTTATATGTTTTACGAGACACAAGAAAGGAATTCATAGGGAAAAGGAGACTTTTTGAGCTCTGCTACTAAAAAAAATAAAAACTGCTTTTTTTTAAGGTTATACGTCAAACGCGTCATATTACGTCACATGGGGAGTCCTTCTCTCTGACCAATTCGCGGTAGTAGTTGGTAGTTGGTTTGGGCGGTTGTGTTTTATTGAGCTGGTATATTTCGGGAGTTTTACATTGTATTTCACCATTTGTAATCATGGTG